ATACCTGGGTGAGGGGCTTGGGCTCCCTGGTAGGCTAGAGACTGCCAGTCTCCCCAGCAACCAGTGATGCATTTCAAATTGGCTGGCTGACAGCCAACAGGTGCTGGCCTCCACTGGACCAGGTAAAGGAGGTCATAAGAGCTATATAAAGTTAAGGACTGCCCAGGAGGGAGGCAGCCACTATGACAAAAACTCAGAGAGAGAGAAAAGAGCTGGACCATCTGAAACTTGCTCTCTCTCTCAAAACTCATGATCAAGGAATTGCCTGCCTCCAGGGGGAATCTCCACCTGCCTCTGGATGATACTTGTGAGTAAGGTACCTGAGATCTAACTATATAGCTTGCAGTAACTCAGATGCATGATCAAAGGCTACTCCAGCCACAATGTTTTCTCTGTGGGTTTTCTCTGATACTACTCAACTCTGTACCCTATTCCAACCCTACTCCTTGTAACCAATAAAGTTCTCCTTTGTACCTAGCATGGGAGACTCATTGGGAGCAGGTCTAGATTATGCCTTGAGGTCCCCTTCGGTCGGCTGACTAAGGGAGACCACTACTTGTGCTTCTGACTGAGGGAAGCACCCCAAGTTCTTGAAGTGAGTCAAGTACCCTTGAGGGCTACTATGCCTATGTTTCCCAGGGGGTGCAGTACCAGAATCAAGCCCCACCCCTCGGTGATGGCAGCTCTACCCCCAGGCTAGCGGGTGTGCTCTAGGAAGGGGGTTGGCCAGATGCAAGGCGCCCCCAGGAAGGCACTCAGAGCCTGGAAGGTGGTGGGGTGCAGTGAGGTGGGTGGCTCAGTGCGAGAGCCGCAGCTACTGGCCTGCCACAGTGATCACTAGACCTGTGCAAAAAGGGAAGTATCTGATCCGAATTCGGCCAATTTGGAGGACAGTAATTTGATTCAGAAATTTGGATCACTGTCCTGAATCGATTCGGCCAAATCAGCTTTGGAAGATTCAGCACTGATTTGAAGAGATTCGGTGATTCAACCATAGGCTATAATGGGGAAATCACCGAAATACCTAGAACTTCGTTATTTTTTGGCAGACTTGGATGAAAACAGCAGAGATGGTAGCCCCTTCTGAGCACACGACATCTGCCAAGTTTCAAGGAGATAGGTGCAGAGGTCTCTGGGAAACTGCACCTCAAACTGTTGAAAGAAAAACTTGTGTCACTTGTATGTGTTAGGGCAGATTTGGATGAAAACAGCAGGGATGGTAGCCTGGAACTGGGGGCCTTCCTGGTGCCAGTTAGATCTCCGCCCACCCACCTGTTTCTGGGCCAGCTGCCCAGCCCTCTTTTGCTCAGGGAGAAACAGCCCACAAAAAAGGGACAGAAAGACTGTAGAAAGCAGCTTATATGCTTTTTCTATGCACCATCCCCCCAAGCACTGTGACTGGAATGGGACTCAGGGAAAGATCACAGTTACTGGCCAGCTACAGATGTCAGTCTTTTCCCCCTGCTTCCTCTCCCTCTTCTCAGTTTCTGTTCCCCTGAAAGACTGCCTTCTGAATCTCCAAATCTTTTTCCGAATCAATTAGGGGGTTATTTTGTTCTCCTAATGCTATTTGGATTTGGTGATTTGACCTCTGAATCGGGCCAAATCTTCTCCAAATTGAATCAGCAACCGAAGCTGATATAGAGAGCAGGAGGAAGACCCAGAGAAATGTAGGGCCCTTGCAGAATGGGACAGGACAACTGATAACAGTTAGGAGAAAGCTGAACTCTTTAATGAATACTTTGTGTTGGTGTTCCTGCATACAAATGCTGGTCGCCTGCCTGATGGGATACTGGATGGATGGTGGGGTGCAGTTGCCAACCAATGGTCAGTGTCAAACTGGTGAGGGAGCACTTAAGAGCAGCTGAATGTCTTCAAGTTGGCAGGACCAGATGGACTACCAGAGTGCTAAGGGAATCGACTGAAGTCATTGCGGGACCGTTGACGATGGTACCTGAAAACTTGTGGTGCTTGGGAGAGGTCCCGGAACACTGGAAAAGGGCCAATGTGGTGCTAATCTTTAGGAAGGGGAGGAGGGAGGATCCAGGAAACTATAGGGCAATCAGTTTAACCTCAATACTGGGTAAAATTTTGGAAAAAATTATCAAGAAGTCCATTTATGAGAGGCTGGCAGAAGGCATGATGCTGAAGGATAGCCAACATGGTTTTGTTGTGGGCAGGTCATGTCTGATCAACCTTGTCTCCTTCTATGATCAAGTAACAAACCACTTAGATGCGAGAGATGCAGTTGATGTCATATGCTTGGATTTTAAAAAGGCCTTTGATATGGAATCCCATGACATACTTATAAAAAAACTGGGGGATTGTGGGTCAGCAGAGTCCACGGTCAAGTGGGCTGGGAACTGGCTAAGGGGTCAAACCCAGAGAGTGTTAGTGGACAGGTCTGTATCATTTTGGCAGGAGGTGGACAGGGGTTCTTGGCCCCGTGCTGTTCAACATCTTTATCAACGATTTAGATGAGGTTGTAGAAAGCATGCTGGCCAAGCTTGTGGACAATACTAAGTTATGGGGAAAAGTGGTCACGCTAGAGCACGAATTCTCAACCAGGGGCACATGTACCCCTGGAGGTACTTGAGAAGGCCCTAGGGGGTAGGCATGGGTGGGCAGGGATGGAGCATCGCCACGCATGATCTCACACTGCTGTGCAGGCACTGGGATAGGGAGATGGGGGGAAACTCACATGCGGCAGCTGCTGCTGCTCCACATCTGGCCACATGTCACTCTCTAATAATGATTCAGGGCCTGGAGGACAAGCCTCATGAGGAAAGACTAAGGGATCTGGGACTGTTCAGCCTGGGGAAGAGAAGACTGAGGGGGGTAGCTGTCTATATTTATGTAAGGGGTAAATATCAGGAGCTGGGAGAAAAACTGTTCACTAGGGCACCCCAGGGAGGACAAGGAGCAATGGCCATAAAAACTGTTAGAGGATGGTTTCAGGTTAGATACAAGGAAGGTACCCTTCCTTATGATAAAGGTAACTGGAATCTGAAATAGACTTCCAAAGGAGGTGATGCAGTCCCCAACCTTGGAAGTCTTCAAAACAAGACTGGACAGACACCTTGCTGCACTCTTTTGACCTCAGCAGTATTCCTGCCCAGAGCAGGGGTATGGACTCAATCTTTTGAGGTCCCTTCCAGCCCTTAATTTCTATGATTTCTATGAACAGACAGTGGTACACAAAAGAATCTTACTGACTTCAGTTCTGTTAGAAATAGAGAGAAAAAAGAAATCTGTTTGCCAAGCAAACAAAAATGACAGAGAAAAATGTTTTGTAGTTTGTAAGTGTGCTGTAAATAATTATACTATATAGTATGGTTCATACTGATATTAAGTGACACCTGGATAGAAAGGAAGCTTCCTGTGAGTGGTTCCACTCAATTCAGTTTCCTTCTAAAATTGGCCCATTCCCACACTGTTAACACAGATCATTTTCAGATGAAAAACTGCAGTTATTTTTACCCTGAAAAACTACAATGAATCCACATGTAGTTAGCTTTGAAGTATAAAAATGCTTTATCTAGCCCCTAGTGAAGCAAATGAGCTGGTCTTTGAGAGAAGAGTAATGGCTATTCTAAGCTGTGAATGTCTACCAGTAAAAAAGTCTGCCAGCAAATAGTGCCATCACTTAAATCTTTGCAACTCCCTGTCTTTAGCTTCTTCACTCAACTACAATTTTAATATATACAAACATTCAGGAAGGTTGGGGAAGGTTAGATAGGTTAAAAATGGCCACCCAATCAAAGGTAAGTTGGGATGGGGGGATTGAGGGAGCTTGTCGGCGGGGAGGAAATTGGTCAGCAAGTAAGCTCAGGATGGATTACTGATGGGGGCAAGCAGGGTCTATGGAGGGGTTGGGGACTCTCCCCCCTAATCCCCAAGAACAGGAGCTATTTTTCGCTCCCAAACTCCCCCCACCACCAGATGACATCCAATACCCCTCTCCTGGCGAGTGCTGGTAAAAACTGTTACTGGCAGCAGCTTGCAGGACTGGGGGGGAGGGAGGCAGGGTCAGAGGGTGGCATGGGGGGCTGGCTGATCCATAAGGGGGGGTTATCCATTTGTGGGTGGTGGGAGGGCCAGGGAGCTAAAAAATAACCTGGTGCAAGGGGGTTGGGGGTGGATAGGGAAAGCACAGCCCTGAGACTGGAGGCAATGGCTGGGCTTTTCCAGTCCTGGGGCTGCACTGGGAACTGTAGAGAAGTTCAGTTAGATATGTCTTGCCAGACCCAATCTAAAGTTAGACTACCTTGGAGGTACAGTTAACTTAGATCAGGTCAACAATTTTTTAGACCGACCCAACTGCCCTGAACTTCTGTACAGTTTGTTGTCCTTAGATCCACCTAATTAGGGATCTAAACCTAAGGTTTAGACAAAGTAAGTTCTGGACAAAGTAAGTTAGAGCTAGTGGCCATTTTTAACATGATCTAACCTCACCAAAACTCTGTACGTACCCTTAGAAAACCTCATTTTCAATGTGGATTCATTTGGCGTAATTCACAGCATCAATAGTCTGATAATATCCATTCTACTCTTATACTGCTTTAAGAATAAAATCTCATTCACTCTCATTGAAGTATATTTGCTGTTCACAGTAAGCTAGTAATAACTTATTCTTTGGTCAGTTAAAGGAAGCTGACTACACAGAGAGCAGATCTGTTGTTTAAAACAATGTTTTGGGTGTTTTGTTTTGTTTTTTTTAACTCAACTTCCACTTTATTCGTTCATTCATCATAGTTTAGTTAGAATACTGAATTGATTTCCCAAAGAAGGAAAGTGATAATCCTAAGTGATCCAATATTTATCCACGCTAAATATTCATTTGTCATTTTCTAAAATGTTAAGCTAAGTAATTTGGGTATTCAGATTAAGACATTTTCAGGCACCTGACTTTCAGATGGCAAGTGAGATTTAAAAAGGGATGCATGAATGCATATGCTTTCATTTCCAAGCTAATGACGTACTTCACAATGAAGCCTTACCTGAACTTGTAGTGCAGAAGAGAACTGTAATAGTGAGGAAAAATAGTGCCTGTATGGGTCCAGGATCCAGATGCATAGTGCCAGATTACAGAAGTTGAAAGCACAGCGCTCCAGACTAGGCACTGAATGACAAGGCACTGAAACAACTGTAACAGAAAAGAAAGAAAATCTAAAATTTACTGTAGATTTTTTTTCTCCTTATTTCTTCTTATTTAGACAGAAACATGGTTGGAAACTAGAATCAAAGTACATCCACACCTTCAAGACCAGGAGATTTCCCATCACTCAGTGCATGACAATACCCTAGGAGAGTACTGCACAGAGACAAATAATAAGTTTGTAGACTTAAAAAATATTAATGCATTACAAAGACTACAAAATTATAAAATGGGAAGGGGAGGTGGGAATTGAGGTTTTGTATTATTTACCAGAGTTACATACAGTATTGCTATTTTACCAGCAGAACTGCCAGGACACCCATGGCAAGGAGATACTAAACAAACAAAAATATGCAAAGGGGATGTAAATCCATTGTGAACTCTACACAGTAGCGCTGTGCGAAGCTTCGGGTTCAATTCGATTCAGAGGAGATCCGGCCCGATTCAGTGGCCGAATCTGGATCGAATCGGGGACCAATTTAAAGGTCCAAATCTATTCAAAGCTCTGACTCGTTAGGAAAGATTCAGAGAGCTTTGATGATTCAGGCAGCCCCCAGTGGTTACAGCAGGGAGCTGGACCTGGACTCAGAGCTGGTAAGTACTAGGGGTGGGGAGGGCTTAGGAGACCATGGGGGACCCCTACCAGCCTCCCCCAGTCCCCCAGCCCCCTGAGCCCCCCTTCCTCCAGTCTTGCCAAGGCTGCCCTGCCTCCCCCCCAGCTCCTGGCCCTTTAAAGAAAAGCCCCGGTGCTCACCAGGTGGGTGGGCCATCCCTGCTGCCCCCCACTCCATGGGAGGCTACGCCATGAGTCTCCCGACCCCCCCCACACGGCTGCCCCTCCCAGGCCAGCTCCGTCTCTTTAAGGAAAAAAAGAAAAAAACGGAAAAAAGCCCCAGAACTCACCGCTCCTGCAGCAGCCTTGGGGCTCTGGGGGGCTCGTGCAGAGCCCCCCATGTGGCATGGGGTAGTGGGGATCGCCTTCCACCACTTTTTTTTTCTTAGTGTCGGAGCTGGCCCAGGCAGGGTACCCATGGGGGGAGGGGGGGGAGGATGGAGCATCAAGTGGGGGCTTGTGAGGAGGCCCCCATGCAGCATGGGGCAGTACAGGGCAGCGGGGATCGCCCCCCACCTGGCAGCACCCGGTGAGTCAGGGCTTTTTTTAAAAAAAAAGGGCCAGGAGCTGGGGCAGGCAGGGAGGCCGTTGCCAGGCTCCGGGGAATGGGCCTGATTGATTCAGAGATTTTGCAGCAGCCGAATCTCTGAATCAGATTTGGCCGAATTGATTCAGGACAGTGATTCGAATCACTGAACTGAATCACTGTCCCCTGAATCATCTGAATCCCAAGCAAATACTAGCCGCTTTGCACAGGCCTATTACACAGACATAAGTGTCTCTCTGGGTGGAGCAGCATACAAGTTGGTCCTGTCAGACCAACCTGGTGGCCTTTTACGACCAGGTCACTAAATCATTGGATGCAGGTGTGGCAGTGGATATAGTTTTCCTAGACTTCAGGAAGGCTTTTGATACTGTCTCTCACCCCATTCTCATTAGGAAGCTGGGGGACTGTGGCGTAGACACCCATACAGTCCAATGGGTCGCCAACTGGTTAG